AAAAAAATAATTATATCGACACTAACCGCGACTTATGTTTGCGTTTGTGAACGATAGCTTATCAGAGGCAAAATATAGTTAGGCCGCAGTACTGTTTGGTGCTCTAATAAGCTAACTAATAATGTCAAATTTATTACAGCAATTAAAAGCTTATTTTGTACCACTGGGTTCTGAAATTGTAAGCTACACTTGAATTAATCCTTCTTTCATATTTGAACATTAAATTCCTTTATAATTATAAACAGAAACGAAATATACACAAAGAATCATAATTGAAATAGTTATTGCTTGTGGTAGTAAAAATATATATAAAAATATTATGTAGTTAAGTTTTATAGATCATGATACAAGATTTACATAGATACAATTTTTCTCATCGTAGGCAATAAAAAATTTTTTTAAATTATTCGATTCAGGGCATTGAAGCGATTTTTAATTAAAGTGGAACTTAGAAGCTACAAATAAAAAGATATCAGACTATGAGTTGTTATTTCACTCTAGGTAAGGATAATAAATTGGCCAAAATTCACGAAAAATTAAAAATAAGTTGTTCCACAAGTTTAAATGGGTTTTTTAATTGGGACCTTGGCCTAGATACGAAAAGACATTTTATTAAACTACTTAATCGAGATATAAGTTCTATTACAAATTGAAATGATGTTTTCAATAAAATAATGTATTAATATTAATAAAATTGATAGGTACCTGTTTATTCAATAAAGTCTCAGCGAAAAATACGAAATACTCTGACTTTTATACAGCTCTTTAATTTTTATCAAATAGGAAATAGCAAAAGGCGTTTCCACGTTTTTTTTATTAATTTAGGGCATGTTCTATATATTGACGATAAATAACGAGCTTCATTTCATAGTTTATAATACGCGACTAATTCCTAACTATAATATTCATTTCTCGCAATAAGATTTTTTTGTTTTTAATAGTGTTTCGACGAATTCTAGCTTAAAACGGATTTGTGGCTGGAATAGAAAGTTGCCGTCCTGATCTTTTTTGGTCTTTGACAGATCAAGTGTTGTTATAGGTATTTTTGATAGTGCTATATACGAATATGCGGTTTATACAAATTCTTTTGAATTGACGAGAATATTACCGAATCCTCCGTAGTCACTTTGTGCAAAGAGATAAATATGGTCCTATTTTCTGTAACACCTTATTGCTAATTCCATAATAGCGCGTATCGAAAAACATTTCTAAAGAATATGCATGTTTCAAATTCAAAGTAATTAAAAAATAGAAAAAATAAATGTTTTATACAACGGTATTTATAATCAGATTAATTATAATGTATTTTATACTGAGTACCTTTCGATTTTTGTATAATTTAAAAGGCTATAATTAACATAATACATAGTTATAAACATAGTCTAGGCATAATATAACCTAAAATAAGTTCGAGATAGTTAATCTAAACATATCTTGGCGCTTATCTTGATCTATCCAAAATAAGTATTTACTTCATCGCCATGAAAGTCATTAGCGATTATTTGAAACTTTTTTATTTATTTTAATTACATTTGAATTAAAAATAAAAAGAAGATTAATGACAAAAACTTTTTAAGTCATGATATTGTAATGCTTTATGTAAAAATATTACGACTTTCTTCTGACAACAAACTAACTGAAGTCTTATAATATTTCAACAGCTTGTTGGAATAAAAATTAACAATTCAGATTTTATGAAAATTTACACAACACGATTGTTGTAAAAGTTGAACATCGTTTTATATTATAATATACCTTGCGTAAATTGTATATTTTAATATATAAAAAAACATGCTTTAAATTAAATAAGCCTTTGGTTTATATAGGCTTTACATCATATCTTTGCAGACAATATGTACTTAAAAATGCCCTTGTGTTATATACATATAATCCATTACAGAGTTTTCGTGAATCATACTCATGAAACTGGAAACTGTGAAAATATTTAAGTTCCTAATATTTTTTTCATTTGTAATATTTATTATTAATAATGTACACTTATTGTATTTGGTATTGTTTCAATAAAAACACTTACATACATTTTACTGGATCACTCTAAATAATTTTAATCAAAAATATAAAATATTACATTATTTTCAAATTTATATATTTCACTTTATGTAGGTAAACTATGTTGCCATCAGAAACGTTATTATTAAAGTACGTTAGATTTTCGGATATGACAGAAAATTAGTAAATTGCTGAATTTCAATAAAATATGTAAGATTTATAAAAAAAATACAAATAATTCAAATACAAAAATTGATCAGACACAAAAACTTTAATATAACATAAAAATACGACTCATACAATAATAACTAAGGTACATATCTAATGTTTTAGGGTAAAGGTTTTAAAACTTAAGAAGTAACAGTCATTTCAAAGGATTATTTCTTTATATCCTTCTAGTATTTGTGATGTATACACTTAAACAGTTCTTCTGTAGGTCTATTGGAGTTTTATTTAAAATGTAAGAATATACTTTCGAGGTCCATAACAATTTTGGTAAAAACTACTTCAATGTTAAAGACATTCCTTAAGCTAAGTATTGAAATACGTTATTTAATCAAAAAATATAATTAATAAAATACTTCATACGAATAAACCTTAAACATTCTTAATTCAGAAAAACAAAAACTTTTTATAAAGACATGAAAAACAATATTATAACTCAGTAAAAAGTTACTGACTTAGCATGAATATCTTAATATTAAATAACTTTGTACTTACAGAGGTTATTTTTCTTTTATATAACTAATCGTAAAAATAACTGTTTATAAATATTAAACAGAAAAATGTCAATATTTTAGTTGATTTACTATTGAAACTTGTTATATAAATTCATTTATTATTATATATAATATTTTTATGAATATTTAAGGTGGTGCTTCTTAAAAACTAGATGGTCCCTGGACCACAAGTGGTCTATGTTAATACATTATCACGTATTAAGGTGCTGCTTCAAATTCCTAACTTTTGTTGTGCTTTGCTTCCTCTATTTATAACGTTAAAGTTAATTAAGTAAACATTAAGTTCATTATACAAATAAAATTATAACTATGTTCATATTATTAGGGTCTGGTTAGGCTATTGATAAATTAAAAAAAATATTTCACATAAACTCTTGTGTCATAAACGTTTATGTAGTTTAGGATTTAAACGTTTAATTATTATATATTTATATTAAAAAAGGATTAAAAAATTGTTGTATATGAAAATAATATCAAACTATGAGTAGAAAAGTAGCGAACAAATTTCTTTTTTCATAATTTAACTATGTCTATATCAAATTTCGAAAGTCTACATGAAATATTATATTTATATCTGCAAAACTTAATTTAAAAGCAGTTTAGGCATTATTATGACTTTAAGAGCAATGGAATGGAAGAACAAATTATTTTACTTGTACATAACTATTCATTGTGCATCAAATACATGTATTAGATAAGACGCCATTAATATGGATAAATATGTAATGTATTTTTGCTTATGTTACATTTTACAAAGAAATTTGAAAAGAAAATATCTTCAACGAACAGAATGTTGGAAAAGGTTTGGTCTATTTCTTACTTTAACATGTCAATTAATAAAATTTATAACTAATCTTGATAGTTATTAAAAAGTGGAATAAGGCCAACATTAAAGTTGGGCTGTTTCCAATAAATCATAAGAATATTAATTATAAAAAAACTGAAATGAAATACCCCAGACGGGTATAAAATGAATGTAATAAAAACGTTCATCTTTGCACAGCTAATGGAATAAAAAGTAAGTTGAGTATCATTCCCAATCGGTTAGTGCAGACATTTTATACCTATAATTAATCTAATATACTATTTGCTCCAATTTCAGCACTGATCTGATTTCAGATTAAATAATTTTTGGTTTCTATTAAAATATATGTCTGATGTATATATTGTTACATTTCCAACAATAGTCACGTTTTAATATTCTACAAATAAATGTTACCCATTTACATTAAATCAAATTTATTATGAAATTACGATTGATTTCAACCTAACAATATCCATTACATCTACCTTTTCATTTCCGATAAGATTAATTGTTATGTCAAATCTTAATGTGTTTCAGGATTTAATGTTATGGACTTTTTATTGCTCACCAGCAGTGCCCTATTTATTATGTGTTTAGCTCTTTTGGAGCCTTGTTACTTTACTTATTGATTAAATTTTTACTTTACTTATTGTTTACTTTACTAATTGATTTAATGTCATCCAAGTAGGCCATTTCATTGCAAAGGAATTTCACGACAACATAATGCTTGAGATTACAATTCAACTAAATATGTATAAGTACACCTTCTGTGGAACAATTCTTTTTAGTTATGACTAAAAAAACTGCATTTTACTTTTAATCTAATGAATGTATGATTTAAGGTACTTTTTATGTAGAAATAGTGAATGAGATATCAATTGCATCCCCATTGTTAAGCAACTAAATTCACAATCTGTGTTTGTTTTGTTTGACAAGATTATTAAGTCATCTGTTTATTGAACATAAGACAAACTTATTATGTATTTTCTGGTTCTGAAAAAGGTCATCTTTTTTATATAAAGTATCAAGAAATTTCAAAAAGACCTGCATATCAAATAAGAATCCAAAATTTTATGTATATTTATTATTAAGAGCGTGATATGCACATAGAACAGTACGACATTTTGGTGAAAACAATATTAATAAAATAATAATTCAATGAATCAATGAAATAGAATGTACTACGCGAGTTTATTATGATGTAACTGGTGAAGATGTTTATCTAAGGACAGTCGTAACTCACATTTATGTGGGTGAATAGGCAATTTCAGGAAACGAATTGCTCCGATCTAAAGATAACTTTGACTAGTGCAGATTTTAAAGGACTATGAAACTGCACTTACAAGTCGATAACGTCTACTAGTACAAATCAAAAATTTATTACCTAGCCATTAATATGTCTTTAATAAATGATATATTTAACGAGGTAAATTATTTCTGTTGCATTAGTTTTTGTCGATCGTTTTAAATTCAGTTCGCATAGTCTCTTTTATCTGTCCAATAACCATTTTAAATTGTGTTGACACTCGATAATTGGCCTGAAACTTTTCACATAGTTGAATAAATGTTGGGTGAAGGTGTTTGAGGATAGAGTGATCAATTGTTGGAAACATGTGATGCAATGCATGATCTCCAAACATGGTCAGCACAGCAAAGGTGCTGTTGTTAATGTCTTTCCTATCTAGCAGTGCTTCTACTTGATGTTCGCCCCAATCCGGTGTTGGATTTCTGAAAAAAATAATGGAATAAAAAAATAAGAAACGTTTATAATAATTTCTGGTTTTTAGGTTAAATTAATTTTATCTTATTACAGTTTTGTTACTAATTTCAATTAATTAATTATTTTTTTAATTGTAATTTTTATTTTACATTCAAGCATAATTTAATGTTTATACAATCTTCTTAATTTATGCATCATCCGACTTCAAAAGCTATATTGCTTGAAGATTTCTTTACCTCGGTTGATCACCATCTTTGATCGCGTCAGGGTGATGGTGAGCAGCATTTACAGCAATAAGGAAGAAAATAAGACTAGCAGTGCAATTGATCCAAAGCCATGTGTACAGTACATAATAGAAGGAACTTCCACTTATTAACCACATACAAAGCGGTAACAAAAATCCAATTACATCGTGCCAACGGTAATGACTTTTGAAAAAGCCTTCACGAAGAAATATACTGAGAAATCTGGAAGTGAAAGTTAATTTAATAATATTTTACGTTTAATAAGTATAAAAAATTGAACTTGTAAAGTCTTGAATTATTTTAGAATAATGATATCTCATACTCAAATTATTATTTACCTTTTGACGAAATTCATTAAAAATGATATTGGAAATAAGAATAGCTCCGTAATGAATCCTATTCTTGCGTGAAATGGTTTGTCTTTCCTGGGATTATAGAAGAGAAAAGGTTCAAGAGAGCTTATTTCGGCGTCCATTAGGGTATTTGTATACAAATGATGAGAAAGAACATGAGACACCCTAAAGTCTCTGAAATGAGAAAATATAATTTAGGTTTCAATTTACAATAAAGTTGTTTGAAACAAACATTATTTTATTCAATTGATTGATTCAATTTGTGTTTGAATAGCAATACGAGTAACAAACTTTAGTTCTCTAAATTTAAGATAATCTTTATTTCATTTTATAGTTTTGACACCAAAAATATAACAATATATAGATAATATTCTTTATAACAAACTCTGTTTTTCAAAAATTTCATAAATCGGATTTAGATAACTCCTTGTTTTAAAATATTACCTGTATGACCACATACTCAAATTGAAGAGATACATTCTCCAGTTTGTTTTGCGGTGTATATAATTATGACACGTTACTGTTAATAAAGCTAATGATATTGAAGCAATTATATAAAAAAATGTTCTCAGCCAATAACTTTCGAACCAACATGATAAAGAGGCTGTAGCTAATACAGTCATAAAGAGAGTGTCAGTTATTCTTTCAGATGTTTTGGAAACATCTTTGGGTATGTTTTTCAATTCTTCAAATACCGTCTTCTTAAGTGTTTTATAAAAACCATCTTCATGAAAGGTAAATGGAGAATTTCGTGGGCCTTTGGCATCTCGTATATAAAATTTGTTTAGAATCTTTTCCGTAGTAGGGTTCAAATGGTGTGACTCAAAGGCTTCAGTGATGTCGGTACCCTAAAATATACATTGCATTAATTTAGTCAATACTTTTCATGTTCAATGTTAGACAAATAATATAAATATAACATTAATTTCAATAGAAATAAATAGTAACATAAAGAAACATCTTTTTAAAGATAATTCAAAACAAGAAAGTAAATAATAATTATAAATATATATACATATATAAAAACAGAACGTCTAGTCACTAAAAAGCGATGTCTGCGTAATATTTTTTAGACAATATACACTTTTGGCATATATCTGGAAAACTAATAACGTCACGGAGATTTTGCATGCTCGAAAATATTTTTAACTGTTCCACTTCAAGAAAGCAAACGCCATCTTAAAAACTATAAGTAGAATAAGTATACTTTAAAAAGAAGATTTGTAGATAATGAAGATATTAATGTCGGTCATATTAAAAAAACTATTATATTTATGTTGAGGTCAACATAAATATTTTATTTGTTAATTCAACGATAGTGTTGTAAGAGTCAAACGATATATAATGAATAGACTTTTTATTATGTTCTATATGGAGTCAACATAACGTCAGGAACTGTAGAGGAATACTAAAGGATTAAAAAGAAAAATAACAAACAGTTTAGGGGTTTTAGCTTGGTTAAATTCCAATCTAATTATGAATTATTCACTAACTACAATATTTGTAGTAATACATAGAACACAACTGTTATCAACTTGCTTGCTTTTTTTAATAATTTCATTTCTTTTAAAACGTTCATCTCTGAAGGAATCTTAATTACTCTGTTACTAAACTTAAGCATGCATATTTTAAAATAAGTGTGATGTGTGATACCTTGGTTAATTCTAGCCATTCTTCACCACCGGGATGGCTCTTCATGAAACTTGATAAGTCATACAACTTATCATGAACTCTCCATAAGCCTTCTGCGTTATCGTCCAAAGCTTTACCAGTAATCCATTGTACGGAGTCTTTTAATCCTTCATCTCTTAAAGAAGGGTATTTTAACTGTGGAAAACTAACATGGGTTTTTCTCTCTTCTGCACGTTCTTGAGCTTCTTCTTTCCAATCGCTTTTAGGAGCCATAACTTAATTGTACTTATTCATGTATTGTGGCGTAAAATTAAATGTTTTCTAAGACTAATCGCGATAAAATATCCCCTCATATGTGACTTGATGTATGATTAACCTTTACTCTTTGAGCAGTCTGATAACTTTGGTTCGTAAATAGTTAATTACTAGTATGTTACACATTTATGCAATGTCATTGGCTTTTACACAGTAAGTAAGATGTCTCAATGTATCAAAGACTTAATTTAATAGATCTTTTGTTTTTTTTGTGTAATTGTTAAAAGTTTTATGTTATTTTGTAAAGTAGTAGAAGTATTATTGTTACATATGTAGGTAAAGTATTATTGTTACATATGTAGGTAAATAAAGCAGTGCGTGATTAGCCAGCGATCCTTTCATTTGTCCGACCCTATCCGCGTATCTAACAATTATGAACGTAACTTTAAACCAGAGCCCGTGTCAAAAAATCAAATTTTTGAGAGATAAAAAAAGAAATAGATCGCAACATCATTATTCTAATATTATTTCTTGAAACGAAAAATAAATTAAAGGTAATTTGACCTTATTTGGTCTAAAACGAAAAAAACGAAACTTCAAATAATAAATATATCTCATAATTGATTTTGCTTCTTTAAATACCTTTATATGATAGTATTTTTCTTATGTGTCTTACCATTATTCTGGTTCTTAAGTTATATTTACTAAACAAAATAAATATGGTTTTGATAAGTAGCCGACAGTTTGTAAGACTTAGACGCCTTTGTCAGGTTTATTTTTCTTAAGTGTAACTGGTATTTTACTGACGGCATTTATTTATTATGGTACAAATCCATTATCCTTCTTACATCAAAGCGAAAAACGTTATTTGTCTTTTATAATTCATTCTCATTCAGTCCGTAGCTATTCTAATAATAACGAATATTACTTGGGGGATTTGGAGCAATGAAAAAAAAAGTTATTTTAATCCGTGCATTGCGTATTGAGAGAGGAATGCACGTAGACCAATCACACAAACAATGCTGTATTTTGATCTGTTACAATTATGAAACTATCAAAATATCAATCATTTTTGTTTTGGAAAACTGTAAACCTAAAGACCCTTTTACAATATTATTGTATGTATAAATTATATTACCTCCACCGATTGATTGACAGTCACTGGACTGAAAGCTTAAACTTGTATTCCGATAAGTATCAAAAAACTTCTCAATCAGCTAATGACGTTTCTTAAAACTTTCTCAAAACGGTGACCTCGAGGCCAATACTAATTTGAAATTTTCATGAAAATACTTTTAAACTAAACTTTATACTGAGGCATGTAGATCAAAGAAAATATTATTTTATGATTTGATACCACCAAAGACAATATCGGATCGATGAGACTATCTTTTATACTAAATTATATTAAAGATTTTATAAAAAATTTACTGAAAATTAAAATAAAACATTAAACCGTAAAAGAGACTTGGTAATTTTATATTTAAATTATCAAAATAATTTTCATAATGACTCAAATACGCTAACAAGCAAATTAACGCTAAAAAGAAATACCAAGAGTCGCTTATATTTAGAGACTTCATTTTTGTGTTGAAACTCAAAAGGCGAAAAAGTCATTATATTACTAATTATGCATTCGTTTTGTTCTTGCTAATTTTTCAAGAAATTCTTTTGTATACAGTAACATTTATAAGTCTGATTGTTTGTGACAGCTTTCTTTCTGAACATAATATTTTAAAAACAATAATTATATGCTATAATATATATATACATATATAGTTATATTATAACATATTCGATTCTTGATATTCAATTAAATTAAGATGTTTTTGTGAATACTGTTTGTACAAAAAAATTAATAATGTTGAGAGAATTATTTGACTATAAATATAATATGTTATTAAACTATTCAGTTGTAATTTATATTTTATAATTTTTTTCCTGTTATGGTTATAATGTGACATAAAACAAAATAGCATTGGAGGAATTTTACTTTAAGATAAAACTTCGTTTTACGTAATTATAATAATATAAACAATTAAACATGTACTCTAAAGGTTAACATTAAAATCTAAATGTGATAAGTCTCAGTCAAAGTCACGTTTTATTTCTTGGATTGTGTATTTTTGGATTCTCTTATCCTTAACTTTAATGAGTAATTAGAAGAGCTGTAACAAAATATGTTCAAAGACAGGAAATGTCATAGTTACACCTTATCACACTTACCAGACATAACAAGCACAATAGGAGCCAAAATTAAAGAGTGCCGAAGTATTTCCAACAGTGGCTATTATGTTACATAGATTAGAGAGACCTCGCTGTTGTTATTTGAAACTAGATTTCCAACGAATAAATATGAAATCCAAGGTTTGGTTTCCTTCATTCGTTTCATTCCAAGGTTGAAAAGGTTTTTAGTTTTTGATTTGACGTGTAGACTGACAAAATTTGCAGTATACAAGTTATTTTATTTTAATTTTCTACTCAATGAATCATACTTGAATGACGTTAGAGTTATTTATTAGGATCTATGAGAGCGAGAAATTATAAAACGGACATTATTGAAAAAACTTAATTTTTTGGAAATGTATGTGAACATAACACATTTAGAGTTAAAGGGAAAAGCCAGTACTAACCTTGGCCTAAGGCCTATTACCTTACTCGATTCGCATGATTATTATAATGGAATATAATATACTAAAGCATATTTTTAACACTGATTTTATTTGTATGGTCTAATTCAATTAGAATGATGAAAATAAGTTTCTACCGAATTCACTAAGCCTCGTCGTAGATATGATAAAACCATCATACATATAAGCTTCAAAATATTTAAACTTACATACATATGTACATATTCTTTATTTACATATGTCAGGTGTGTTCAATATGGTAATTTTATTGTAGCTTTTGATACACATGAAATATAAATCCCTTTATTTAATAGGAAGATAAATGGATCACACCTGGATAGTTAAATTATTTATTAAAAAAATATATATATTCCATATAAAAATATGATATACACTAAGATATTTTGTATGTTTTCTGCATTGATTATAACCAGAAATGTAATAAAACCATCAAAACTTATTATAACGAGTTCATTGTTTGTAAGATTATAGAATATTTCAACTTTTGGAAAAATCAATACTTGAAATTCCAAAATAGCCCTTGAAAAGTTATGTTCTAGGACCATCTAATCTAAGATTTTGCATTGAAATACCTTTTTTAAATTTAACATGTACCTAAATAACATTAGACTTCATTGTGTATTTTATATTAAAGCTGTAATGAATTGAAAATAAGAATGTTATGGGCTAATAAATCGATAACTTCTTACGTATACCTATAATATTTTCATTCTTGCCTCTTTACATTGAAATATAATATTGATTGAATTAATATCCTAAAAAACCAAAGTAAAACATTTAACAGTTGACCTTATTACAAACAAATTTCTGTTACGTTTAAAGATGACTTTATAATTTATTGTGAATATTTATTTTTGTGAATTTTTGCACCAAAAGGTTATCTAGTGTTGGGCTCGTAATTGGTGCGAACAGTGCAGCGATACTCGGTAACAGTACACATTAAAAATAACACTTAGGAGTATATAATTAAGAAATAAAATTGCATCGTTTACAATAATTTGTCTATAACTTCTTTAATATAAAAAAATATGTTTGTATGGTTATTTATGTTGAATATGTCCCTAAAATTGTAAATGAATTTATATCTGTATATTATTTTTAGGAATATTTAATTTTAACCATAATATTGTTTAAGTGATTGTATTTGAATTACAAACAATACTATCATATAGATAGCATTTAATAAACATCACGTGATAAGTATATTTTGGATAATATAAGTAACCGGCGACCAACATTTATCACAATATAAATAACCTCTTCTTGTTCAAAGCATGTCGTGTTCTTAATAATAAAATGCCACCAAATGTAAAATACTTAGACGAAGCTTTTCAACGGGAGGTTGAAAAGAAAACACACGTCAGCTTTCCTCAGTTGAAGTACCCATCGTTGCGAGATGAGGGGATGCGAGATCCGATACAATGGCTTATGGGGAAGGCCATGGATGATGGCGCAGAAGGGTTGTGGAGGGTTCACAATGGATTGTATGATTTGGAGGAGTTTATTGAAAGACACCCCGGAGGCGCGGAGTGGCTGGAACTTACTAAGGTAAACTTCTATACAATATATCATCAATTAATAATAAACTTAGTAAAAATTGCAAGCATTATTTCTATACGATGTGTTAGTTATTTTAGTAATGAATTAGCTAAAATATTGTAATTCTATACATTTAAATCATTTTTTCTTAAAAAAACTTGAGATTTTAAGCTTATATATATTAACAGATAGATATTCAATATTTTCCTTATTTTGATATCCACTATATTGTTTTTAAGTTTCACAAAAGCTAATATCAGAGCTTTACATAAACAAAGACCCAACATTACTTCTTAAAGCTTAAATACTTCTCTCAACATATAGATATAATTATTTTAGAAAAATTAGTGCAACAAAAAACTAATTCAAAAGACTTCAAACAATATTTGGATTATAAAAACATGTCTTCTAAAACACTTAGTACTTAATTTTGCAGTGGTAAAGATGCAGGGAGAAGCTAATTTGACAATCAATATCGAATGAATTAAGAATCGTCTAAATGGGTTTACAAACAAACAAGTTCCTACTATATACAATTAAAAAAAACACACAGTCAAAAAATAATAATATATTTTTAGCTCGTAAGAAATTGTGTTCTTGCGTTATCAAGATATTATAATAATAGGAACATATTAGGATATAAAGTTATTACAAATATGCAAGAGAGTGGCGTTATATAAACACTATTAATTGTATCGATATGACTTGTGATAGGAAGGTTGGATGTTATATTTATCTAGTGACCTTTAACCTGATCTACCAATTGATTAAATTAATATAATATTCTTATTTTAATATATATATTGTTATTTTAACTTCCTTAAAAAGGTTCAGGGTTATTATTTACAATTGCAAAGCATGGAAGTTTTAGTACAAATTTGTCTGAGTTTTTTTTACAATTTTGTACAGTTTTTATTCAAAATAATTTATACTAAATACAATGAATTTATTTCACAAATATTAATACTACTCATTACAGTGATTAGTTTCTTAGACTATTTTTTTTCTTTGTAAGGAAAACCTATTTATGTTTTTTATCGATAATTTTAGGGCACAGACATAACAGAAGCATTTGAATGTCACCACATTGGTCCACTCGCGGAAAAAATGTTGAAAAATTATTATGTAAGAGACGCAAAAACACCTAGGAATTCACCGTTTACGTTTAAAGAAGATGGCTTCTATCGTTCACTGAAAAGGACTGTAAGAGATGAAATAGAAAAATTACCTAAAAATCTACCAAATCATACGGATATGATAATGGACGGGCTTCTTGTAACATGTCTTGTGGCCTCGGCATTGTCATGTTGGGCGACTAATTACTGGCTTGTAATGGGATCTTATATTGTAGCATCTGTTTCACTGGGATGGGCAGTTATTGCTGCACATAATTACCTACATAGACGAACTAATTGGAGAATGTACATATTTAATCTTAGTTTATGGTCTTATAGGTATGGGGTCATTGATTAATATTGTTAATGATTTGTTTTATGTAGTCCAATTATTTATGATTTTGTATTTTTCAGGGATTTTAGAGTATCCCATGCATTGTCACATCATCTTTACCCTAACACATTAATGGATTTAGAAGTTAGTGGTTTCGAGCCTTTGGTTTATTGGAACCCAACGAGAAACAAACCTTTATGGGCTTATTTTGCTATTGTTATTGAACAACTTTTATTCCCCTTCATGTTTATTCTAAACTTTATCAAAAGGTAAGTACAAAAAGTTTATAAATTATAATTATTTACATCCAGATTCAAATTTCATAATTTTATTAGTTTTTCTACATGACTGTCGAAGGATATTTGGCAGATATCTCTTTCAAGAGATAAGTTATTCTTTGTGCATCCCATTTCTTTTATAATACTGTAATTTTTTCTATTTTTGGTACATAAATAAATAAGTACATGAATTAATTAATTAATATAACTTACCAAGAGTTGTAAGTTCATCTGTATAACACTGCCCCGTAATGATAAAAAATAATAATTTTTTTCTTTTTGTGTGAAGTGTAGAGGAAACTTTCAATTACTTTAAAAGATTATTCAGGTTTTCAAGATTAAGGTTTTAATTACAAACATAACAATCACCGTCCATCTTAAAAATAACTTTTTGTGCTTTTGCTGGCTAGGAATATTTAATTAGGTATTTTTTGTTTCAGGATGTCATTAATTTTCTTAAGGAAAGATTTCTACACGAAACATATCCGTTGGCACGACGGCATTGGTCTACTCTTGCCAGTCTGGATGTATCTAGCTAGCGGATCTAATTTACAAACGGTTATGGTCAATTGGATCTGGATAAATTGTACTGGGAGTTACATTTTCTATACAATCGGAGCAAATGCAGCACATCACCATCCTCAAATATTTAAAGATGGCGATGAAGTGAAGTAAGTAATGGATTCAGACAAAATTTTGTTTTTGTTTCACAATAGAAAGTACATTTATATGTTTTATGTATTGTTACAAAAACAATATTAAATGTAAAGTTTCATTTCTATACAGTATTGAATATCTTTTTATAAATTTAATTGATCCAAACAAGACAATGACAGTCATATGTATATTTGAAATGTATTACATTTTTAATCGAAGATTAAATGTTGTTTTCAGTGATCTAACGCCTGATTGGGGTATGCATGAACTTGAAGCTGTAATGGATCGCCATGAGGTAAATAGCAGCAGCTTTAGAGTCTTGATCATGTTTGGACACCACGCCTTGCACCACCTGTTTCCAGCTCTGGATCACGCAGTTTTGGAACATCTTTACCCTGTATTTTTGCAACATTGTGAAAAATTCAAAGCAAACTTTAGATATATGTCCCAAGTGGAACTTTTTATCGGTCAGATAAAGCAATCTGTAAAAACAAAACCAACACTCCTATCAGAAAAGAAATGTGCCTTTTGAATGTTTTTAATAAAACAGATTAGCAGCTACCATTTTTATTTATTATAAGATAAGAAGTTAGGTTTTTCATTTCAATATATGTTCTCCTTATCATTAAAATAAAACAGTAACCATGGGAGATACTAAAAGTTGATAAAAATTGGTCGTTTTTAGCATTATTTGTAAACAACTTGTAATGGTTCCAACGCTTTGTTATTGTCTATATCTCAGGTTCATAGCCTTTAGGATTTTAAAGATAAACTTTAATACTAATTCACTATCTTTTTTGACAGTATTATCTATCAAAAGTCTAAAAACTAGTGATATTAATTAACTTACCAATGTTTCAAATAACGTTTATTTTATTTCATATTTTATTGAACAGCCATTAAGAGATAGGGGAAATAAGTTATATGTGAGTATTCGTTCTCGTGGGAGCTCAAGCTGTATTATATTTATCAAGTCAAAAGAAATGAAATCCCTCGATATTTACAAGTCGTTGGTGCATAAGACTGCCTCGCACTAAAATGAATTTTTTAAACTCTTATGTTTCTAAACATTATCAAATTCAATTAGTCCTTAATTTTTCCAATTATATCGTTCACAAGCAATTTAAAATACCTTTCAAACTTTTTGCACAATTTATTTCGATTAAGAACATTGCATCGGGGGGTTACTTCTTAAAACAAACCATATGAAGGAGATAGGAAGGCGAAATAAATCTATCAAGGGTGATCAAATCGCTCTATGCCGAGAAGGGATCTCCCTTAAGGGCTCTTCCCAATGAGTTACAGCTTTATTTGCTTATAATTGGTGCTGTTTCTATTGAGTTTCTTAACGAATGGAATATATTATAATGATAAACTTTTTAAATTTTCCACTGATTTAAACCCTTTATCAGTTGCAACAGTAGTCTTATTAGAAGTTATTGTCTATTATAATATGTTTATCAAAATAATGTGTATAATATTGCAGTTCAATATTTATATTTACGAGTTCCAAAGGTAGTAGTTGTAAAACTATTATAGGTATATTGGTGTATGTTGTTTTTTCATCCTATATTAACAGGAAAATGAACTAATTTATAATATGTCTTCCATTTTAAAATAACTGCTATTATAACAAATTCTATCACCTAGCTAATAAGAAGTTGCTCTAACCCTTGCTATAATTAGTGCAAATAGAGCGTTAATATAATTAGCCACTAGCTTTTTTGCTTCATTTAAAACTATTATTCGTCTTAACAAGTTTTACGTCCATTAAATATGTATAAGCTAAGATATTTTTTTACTTTAATTTGAATTTTGAATATACTATATTTGTCACATATTTTAAAGTTTTACAACGCTGTCAAATATGTGATTGAGTACCGAATGTCGTGACAAATCTAGGGAAAAGCATTTCTGGGGCTCAAAAACTTTTACGCCTCCCAGCTGCTATGGATGTTCGAGAGGTTTCAGAAATCGATCTCTGAATTTTTATTTTCCTAGTTTAAGTTTAGTTTTCTGCAGATAAAAATTTGGTGAAATAAAACCATACATAATAATTTGTTATCCTGTAATAAAAATTACATTCATAACATAAAATAATATAAAAGAGTAATCTAAGAAAGCTTTTATTGAATATCATTTGTAACATGCGAAAAACATTTTTCCTCTTGAAAATACATTAAAAGGCTTTTATTATGTCTATTTAATTCTTTAAGCGATGAAAGAAGTAATGAGATGCGTGTGTATCAGACAAATGAAGATTTTTTTATTGAGAGTTATTTACATTCCATTGGGTTTCGGAATTTATTAACAATATTTTGTAGCAATGAATTTATTATTTATTCTCTTTTATTTGCTGCTCACGAAACATTGTTGCTATAAATTTTTCAGATATTAAATACAACTTTCTGCTACTCCTGCTTTATTGAATATATTCAAATTATATGTAGTTTTTAAATTCATTATATAATTATTACATAATAGTAAAATATTCTTCAATATCTTTCCACGGTAATAAAAGCTGCTTAGTTTGACAATTTCCCCATTCATATCTTTAGGGTTAACTTGTGAGACCATTTGATTTATCTCGACAGGGGTTACTTTTGACAACATATGTAGCTCAAACGTATAATTATCTTTCTGTAATTAGTGATCGTATTATTATTTTTGGGTAATTATGCTGAAAAATATTTTTCTTTGATTATTATTACATATCTTTTCAAAGAAAATTGATAAAAATATATATCTTGCTTTATTTTATTCGAAAACTTTATTCGGTTTCTTCTTATTATGATCCTGGATGCATTTGAATGGGGGTTAAACATAAATATTTCTGTAACGAATATCATTTGTAGGTATAATAATATTGAATATTCTATATCAGTCTTAAAAATATGATTCAAGTTGGGTACGTTATAAAAGATGGATGTGTAACATTTGAGACAGGCATGAACCTTTATACGACCTAAACCGTATTATATTGAAAATGCCGTTGAGCTGCACCGCAGTAAACTCGAAAGCAGTCGTAGAAATCCAATATCAAGATCTCGAACATGTGATATTTTCACTCACCGCATAGAATTCCCACTTTGTTTTGTAAAATATATATTTGTTAAGTTATGAACTTTAAATAAATTTGTCTCAAGGAGCCAAATCAATTCATCAATATATATCAATTACAGTAACATTTAATGGACAAATTAAACCGCTTAAAAACTTGTAATTATACTTAAAAGATAATTGTGACAACAATTGAACTACTTAATATGAAAATAATTAAATGCTTTACGTGACAAAGCTCCTTTTAACTATTCTATATAGGTATACATCACATACAAGGCAATAAAAAGTTTTGTGTGTAAAAAAGTGGAAACAAACCTCAATTTAAAAAAAACCAAACTTATACTTGTAGCATGTTAAAATATAAACATGTATTTTCAGATTCTAGAGTTTTCCTATTAAGTGAGCTCAAGTTTTGAAACCTTGTTTTTAAGGATAAGAAGTACATATGCAAGAATATTACATATAATGCGCCCGTCTTAGCTTTCTAAAAGCTTTTGCCCTAGCAGTAGTTATTTGAGATGCGAGACTCGCTTACAATTCATGTTTTCCTTACAGACTCAAACAAACTTTTCATGCAGCAAATACAAAAACGCCTGGAAATGTATGTTCTAGGAAATTTATATGAAATATACATACTAATATTCGCAATCTAGGTACATGTTTGGATAAATTCTGGTTTCATATGGGTAAATAAAACGTATTTAATGATCCAATACATTGAAGAATGTTTTTATTCTTATGGATGGCTCCGTCCAAGATTGAAGAGGGTCGCCAATAAATCAAGCACTTCATTCCGACTTGCAAAATCGTTTCGAAGTCACTCGACAGCGAATTGTTAGACGTATCTGTCAATCCTGTACTAAATTGACAGAGCCTACTTTGACATTACATTGAAAGTCCCCTGATACAAAATAAAAGAACGACGAAAAATATATTGAGATAATAAAATAATTTCATCACTGCATTTTTTTAAATTTCATCTGTTAATGATGCTATGACTCCCAACATAATCTTGTTATTTATTTTCAAAGGACCCAATTAAATCCATTACCGACAAACTTATTCAGATACCTGGTAAAGGGTTCACTGCTTTAATTTATTTTTCCCGAAAGTCAATTTGGTCTCACAAACAGTGATTTTCATTGAAATGTCGACGTTTAATTGAGGATCTTAATGGAATAGCAAGAGCTGTGGCGTGAATGAAGGTTGCCTCGGCATTTAGGATTACCATATTGATTGATTGTACCATAAAAACATACAAGGTAATTAATTTTAAAATAAAATAAGTATATACCTATAGATAAACTTAAAATATAAGGTCTAAATAAAATAAGGAAAGATTTATAATGAAACGTCATATTGAATATGCAGTTTTACAGTGAGAAATATGAAAAAGCACACTACAAACAATTGGAAGCATATATAAATTCAAAGTGGTCATAACGTTGTCAAATACTTTGTGTTTTGACACGTAAATATTACTAACGTCATTATTTTCTTTTTTTTACAGCTTTTGTTCACGAAGAATTTATGAACAAAACCATTTTTTGGTTAGATATGATTCTTTTATTAAGTTGTTTTAAGATAGTATATTCTAAATAAATCTATAATATGCTGACAATTTCTTTTTTAACGGCCTTAACAACAGATAGCTTTTTCTCAATAATATGTATATTATTCAGATGTATAAAAGTTATAAAATTGCCAGTTTAATTATAACATAAAATATCTTAATACCAGCCGCTTTGAATTTTTTTCTGTCTCGAGTCTGGTTTAAAAAAAAGAAAATACAAGTGGAGCGGCTAAGATGAGATTTCCTTGAGGACACAAATATATGTATTTCCTAATCTTGTCGATGAAGTTAAGACATCCTTTTTTATTCTTAATACTTTTTACTGATTAATTTTCACATACGAATTTGTTCTCAAATAAAAACCATAAAATAATAAAAAGGACTCTAGTAGTCTTGTACAAAAAAAATACTAGATCCTTTTTTGTTCATAAAATCGAACACAACTCTTAGATCTATCACAAAGGTACGAGTATGTTAGGAATTGTCAAGTCTAAGTTCTCTAAAAAATATTGTTAACTTCCACTATGTTATCATTATAGATTAAAGAACTTGTTAAGCAGGGTTTTCATAACAGTAGAAAGAGATTCAAAATTTTTGTTGCATTCAAAGTAAACGTCTTAGTTTTTTTTTTTATTGAGATTCTGATTCATAAACAAAGAACAAAGCTTTTTATTTGTCTATTTTAAATGCAATGCAATAAGCAACATATGTATAAAAAATAAAAACATTAATATTATTATATTTTTTATAGAAATGGTGTATTTTTAAAAATTCAAAATTAAAATTTTACTTCAGGCTTTTGCGGTTGGAAAAATAACTTTATTTTCCTAACCGCAAAACCTAAAAGACATTTTGTATTAAATAAAAACATTAGGCAATGTCGCCCTTTTTATATAAAAAATGTGTTATTATTCCTATTTAATTTGTATTCCAGAGTTCCCAGGAAAAATTTAATTAAAAATTAAAAGTTTAGTCGAGCACAATTTTATAATAAAAAAAATATTTACGTCAATAAAATAAAAAACATATATATTAATATCTGGAATGACTTATTCGCTTACTTTATTCTGTCTTTAAAATAAATTTACAAAAGGAAATATCTAAATAGTTCAGAATTAATAATCATATAATATCTAGTAGATTCTTAAAAAGAATAGCTGTAGTTAACTTAGCAACAACGTTTCCTAAGCTCTCTTGAAAATATTTTTTTTCATATTAAATAACATTAACTTTACATATTTGTTTATACTCGTGTTCTCATAGAAGGAATAAGACCAAGTAATTATTATTTATTGGCTAAATGACCTCTAGATAGCCGTAGCATGTTATAAGAAATAAACAAGAAATAATGTAATTATCAAAGACGTTTTGTATGTAAGGGTTTTTATTGAGCTTATTTTTTATAAATGAAACACCGGGAGAATATTCTAAAAAGTACATAACGTCCTTTAATTGTATTTTTGATTTTATAAGACAGTTAAATATACGAGTATCTTACTGTAAAGTCTAGAACGAATAACTAAATTGAAAAGCAATTTATCTTGTTTTATTTGTTTTTTAAATTCAAGTAATATTTCTTCCAAATTGTAATAATTTCATTTGGATCGAATTATATAAGCAAGAGTAACTGCGGAATATGCGTAGTATTTTATGCTCTATATAAATATATTAATTTGAAATCATAGTGCTTAGTGATTCACATATCTATTTCAAATACAAATTAATACAGCTTTCAACAATTCTAAGATGTTTTTTCTACAAATTAGATCCGTCGTAAGTACTGTCTTGTTTAAAAAAATATTTGAATTCCCTTTCAGTTTTTATTTATTAATGTAATTTTTATAGATTTTTTTTATAGTTAAGCTTATTGCTTATAGCTGTTTCTTATTTTATTGTTATATTTTATGGAAGAGTTTATTTTACATAGGTGTACAACTTTGCTTCCGCCGTTTTGCAATAGATGGTTGTAGCGGTAAGTGGTAGTCGAAATAAATAGATCGTAGATGTCATACAATAAGCTTAGGCATTTGTTAACATAACGCCATCGAAATATTAGTCGATTTGTGTCTGCATCATAAAGTTATTCTCGATTAAACATGTCAGCTTACAAGCCAAATTCTCGTCATTTGCGGGAGATTTTAATTTTCTGCTTTAATATGAAGAAATCTGCGGCTGAGGCTCATCGAATGCTCTCAAATACCTATGGTGAGGCTGCTATTAGTAAAAGAACGTGCCAAGTGTGGTTTCAACGCTTCAAGAACGGTGATTTTGACGTCGAAGACCGGCATGGCGGTGGAAAAGAGAAGGTTTTCGAAGATGCAGAATTGGAGGCATTAATTGATCAAGACTCGTGTCAAACGCAACAAGAATTGGCAGGATCATTGGGAGTGATGCAACAAGCCATTTCAAAACGCCTGAAAGTCATGGGAATGATTCAGAAACAAGGAAATTGGGTGCCGTACGAGTTGAAGCCGAGAGATGTTGAACGGCGTTTGTTTTCTTGTGAATAGATGCTTGCAAGGCAAAGACGGAAAGGATTTCTGCATCGCATTGTGACTGGGGATGAAAAATGGGTTCATTACGATAATCCCAAGCGCAGAAAATTATGGGGATATCCCGGCCATGCTTCCACGTCGACGGCCAAACCGAATATTCACGGTTCCAAGGTATGCTCTGTATTTGGTGGGACCAGCTCGGTGTAGTGCATTATGAGTTGTTAAAACCGACTGAAACAATCACAGGCGATAGTTATCGAACGCAATTAATGCGTTGGAGCCGAACATTGAAAGACAAACGGCCGCAATACAACGAGATACATGATAAAGTGTTTTTACAGCACGACAATGCTCGACCCCATGTTGCGAAAGTTGTCAAGACATACTTGGAAACGTTGAAATGGGAAGTTCTACCCCACCCGCTGTATTCTCCAGATGTTGCTCCCTCGGACTATTACTTGTTTCGATCAATGGCACACGGCCTGGCTGATCAGCACTTCCGGTCTTATGAAGAAGTTAAAAATTGGATCTATTTGTGGATCGCTTCAAAAGATGACCAGTTTTTTCAAACGCGGGATTAGTATGCTGCCCGAAAGATGTGAGAAAGTAGTGGCCAGCGATGGACAATACTTTGAATCATAAATGTATAACCAGTTTTTTACAATAAAGCCTCGAATTTCGGACAAAAACGGCGGAAGCAAAGTTGTACACCTAATATTTTATTTAAACAAAGTATAAACTATAGCTATTAGTTCGGTCCATAGGGAGGGAGATTTACCGTTACTTTTTAAAGTCATTCCACTTTGTCTACTCATCTTCTATCTTCACTTAGTATCTTGCCCATTTTAAGAGATAGTGTATAATGTTTTGCTTTATAAAAGGTACTTTGAAGTAAAGTATTACTCCTAAAAAAATATATACATATGATCCGCATTCTTAAAATTTCTCCTGAACCGTTTTTTATTATGTATGTGAGCAACATTATTTAAGTTTATTAAGTTAGGATTAAAATGTGCACATATTTTAGTTCACGTGAATAGTAATAAAATATGCTTTTATAATACTTTAAATATCAAACTTTACGATCGTTACATTCCACACTGTACAATAAATGAATATTATAATATTCCTTTATTATAATAATCATATAAATCTACCTTTTTCCAGATGAGGCTTCTAATTTTTTTGTTAACCGTATATTGCACACAAGCCAGAGTTGTTGACAACGAGTGTGAAGGTGTCCTCGTGCGTAATATTGTCCATGAAAAAGAAAAATTGTTAGATGTTGATAACAGTCCATATCAATTAGCCATTGACTATGATACAAATACACTGTTTTTTAGTTTTACAAGTTCTAAAGAAGGCAAGAGTTTTGAATCAGGCTATCTCAACCTCAAAACTAATGAATTTCACACGATTGATGATATAGACGGTGGATTTGCTAACGCCGTTGATGCGACGTCACATACTATTTACTTGGGTGCAGGTGAGGGCATATACAAATTTGATTTAGAGAGTAAAAAAACAGAACACCTAAACATAACGAATCATAATATTTGGCAATTATTTTATAAAAATAATTTATATTATACTACGTATCCCGATGAATTCGTTTACATATATAAAGATGGAAAAGTTGAACGAGTTCCTGAATTGAAAGACACACAAGCAATGCTAGTTGTTATTGGCAATAACAATAATATATATTTTTCTAACTCTTCGGGATTGTACGTTCATGATCATGAAGTAAAATCTATATCAACTATAGTGGAATATAATATAGAATCTTTAACAATTGATACTAACGGCAAAATATATTTTTGTACTGATGAGGATATTTATCGCCTTGATGACAGTAATAAGGTCGAGAAACTCGCCTCGTTGAAACAAATTTTCGGATTGGCTATTGAAAAGGATGGAAGCTTAATCGTTGGATTATACAATTCTATTATTAGAATTAAGCCAACAGATAAGCAATGCACCGTAAAAGAGAATTAAATTGATGTTTTTTGATTGATATTTTTGATAGATAATTATTTACACATTTGTATCAAATAAGTGTATAAGATATCATTGAAATCCTAATAAATGACAGACAGTAAATGTGCCTGTATTCTAATCCAATGGACAGATTTATAACATTAAAATTAAATCTTTGTTATATTATATATTGAAATTTTAAAATAACAGAAGTGCAAAATATATGAGCAAAATTTTGATTCCATTATTTTTGTGTAATAAATACATACAGATTCATTGTACATAATAAATTAAACCTGATGTATTCCTTTCCAAAGTAAATAAACTGGAACCACCTGAGTGTTAAATAAACTCATATGAATATATTTTAAAGCCGCTGTTATAACAGAATGTACGAGGCAATGATTTAAATACCAATAAAATTTTTCTTTCCATTTTAATTGTAAGGAAATTAATTTACTTTTTGTTTAATATTATACGAAACGGTTGTAGATATTCTTGATATTTAAAATTGCGAAGTTGGTTAGTATTTATTAACCTTTTTAATACGATGTCTTAAAATATCACACTTATTGCTAGTATAACAGTCTAGCACAATGAAGACTTCAATGTAAGATAATAACACGTCAGTGTTTCTTAATGAATTAAAGAAAGATGAATTATAAGTTGTAGTAACGGAGTAAATAAATCCATAGACCATATTTGATTATTCGTTTCACCTTAAATAATATTGTTATAATTTTTTACTGCACACAATCCAATAAATTCTTCAATGAAACCAATCACCAATAACCTTCAAATACATAATTTATCCTAAATTTTACGTTTTACGTGCAAATAAGCAAATGATTTAGTTATTATCTAAAATGTATTAAAACAAATGTAATTTACATATGATTGATTGGTAAATTAATTATATTATTATTGGTGGTCCATTTTCCATCTATATTCAAATGTTGGAGTTCTAATTTAAGCACTTTTATATGAATTAATTTTTTCTATGACGTTACTTTAAAAAATACGTTGTCACGCCGAACTTATTACAAGAACCACTTAACCATATACAAAGCACTCATCGAGGAATTATAAAAAGTTAAATTGCCCAAGTTCATAATTTATGAACTCGTAACTTTAATTTTCGTCTCCATCCTGTTGAATATTTTTATTTGTAGATTTTTTTTAATCAGAGTTGTAGATGCTATTTAATTATGAATAATAAGAAAACTTTAAGTTTATAGACTGTTACTAACCTCATTTACTTTAATATTTTAATAAATTTATTAATATCATTAACTTATTTAGACTGAAGGTATTTATTGTTCGTGGATGAACATCATGCAATTTTAAACAGCCTTCTTCATTTGGAAAGTATTGAGAAATGTTTAAGGAAACTAAATGACGCGGTACTTCAGATATATTTTAACCATAAAACCGTAAAGTATGGTAAACATATAATCATATAATCCTATCACAAAAACCATCTTTACAGTTTTTGTTATAGGACTGTATCAGCCTCGTAGACCTTCTATCAAAGAGCTAGGAGATTATAAAATGATCTTTCTCCTAATTTTGTTTTTAATAACTAAAAAATAACGTCTTTGAAAAAGGAGATTACAATTTCGCCTTTAAAATGCAACTGTAGTAACGCATGGACCAGATGTGCATGGACTTAATGAAAAATTGGTCCTCTGAGGGATTGTTACCTTTTACTGAGCTAAATAAATACCATGTGTACCAGAAAGAAAAGATTTTTAATATGTTTAACTTTATTCATCATAATTTGGAGTTAAAATATACTCAACATACGATATGTTCTTTAATAATGGATTTTCGAGGATCAGTTTTGCAGGGTTTTCTTGTATTCCCTTAACTAAAATTATAACTTTCCTTTGAAGTGACATTTTCAGGATAGTCCATCCTTAAGTTATATACATAAGTATATATTAATTTTTGATAATAATTAATTGATGATTCTTAATTGAGTTTAATGTAGAAATAATAATTTAAGAGATATTATTAATTTATCGGCGAATATTTACAAAGCATTATAAAAAACCTTAATCAATTTCTAATAAGCATGGAAAAAATGGCTATTTGAAAATTATATTTTGTTATAAATATTTTTTTTTCTAATATAAATAATTTGACTTAAATAGCAGGACCATACTCGTCTTAAAAAAAAAATAACGATATAAAAACATTGTGCAAGGAGAAATAAAATATAATTATAAAATAATTCGTTGATTAATACGAGAACATGCATATTAAATTAAACGAGGCCAGATACCTATAAAGCTGTGTAGGCATTGTGTTCTTCGCAGTTGTTTCCCAACGGGCCATTGTGTTGCAGCAAACGTCACATCCACTTCCTGCATCCGGGAGACTGCGTTTCAAACCGTGTTGTTCTGAGCAGTCACTGGACGCCATCTCCAATGCCGTTGAAATGTTAAAACCTAGAGGAAAAAAATTTATATCTCAGTGGCACATTTATATATTTTACTTGACTCATATTCTTAAAGCGAGACGAAGAAAAAACACTACGCTTAATATACTAATTTTATAGAAAAATTGATATAGAGAATTCAAAACTGAAAATTTGTAAATATTTGCTACAGGAATTTAAAATTGATTTAAAAATATAAGGTATTTTTCAATATATAAAGAGCGAACTATTCTAATCAAGCAGTGTAGTATAAAATATTTACAAAATATTTCCCCCGATAATAACGCTTTTAGTTAGTAAAACTGTTTCCAGCTCATACAAAAGTTACTGTAGAAAGTGCAAGTATAATCGATAATTTATTTTAACAAGAGAGCAAGCATAAGGCAAACAGGTTTTTTAACTTTTCCCTTATTTTGTTTGTCAATGGCAACAGAACTTTTAGTGAAATGAAAATAGTTTGTTTTTAGCAAGTAAATAAGAGTAATTTTTGGAATTGCTATATGAATCGATAATAATAATAGTAATTTGTACCGTTATACTGCACGATAAATACAAGTTAAGCGTATTTGAAGTCAAAGAAAACAACGTGACAGCAACAAATGTTTTCTTTTCACATTCAACATCTGTGTATTTTTGATATATGTTTATTTATAAATTTTGTACTTTTGTTAAACATTTTGTTTAATGTATTGGTAAAATTCATTGCTATAAATATCTAACAACAAAGAAAATAAAGCAAAATGAAAAAGAAAATCATGTTAAAATAAATAGTATACCCACAAAAATATTATTTTGTTTATAAAAAAAACAAATGATTAAGGATTTTTGCAGTAAGAACATGTGACCCAATTTTTTTGCTGTATCTGCAAGAAGAAAGTGTATTAATTATTTTAAGCATTCTTCAATTCCGCCAAGATTTTCCATTCAAGATCGACGCACTTACAACGAAACAAATATTTAGTATATTTTTTAATCGATCATATTTTCACAAAATTACTTATTTATCATTACAAAAAAGTCATTTCTTATCTGTTTGGATTTGGTTTTGTTTTTGTTTCCACAAATAGTTATTCATATACACTTATTCACTTTATCCATTAGGATTTTTAAAAAATACACAAGTTTTTGCTCCAAAATTATTTAATAATTATAAACCCTATTTCTTTAATCATATATTTAATGAAACATTTCTCTTACACGAATTTTAATGTGTATATTATTTTTTACACAGTCTGTGTCCTGTTTTCATGTGAGTAAAAGCTGTACACAACATTAACAGCTTTAAAAGGTATCATTGTGTGTCATTGGTTGATTATATGCCAACACTTACAAGGCTTCCACAACATCACCAAACATGATAATGTTGTGCGGTGAAATGTGTTTTTAAATTTGGTTTGTACTCTTGTACACTAGGTATTGTGTTGGTTAAATTAATTTATACCAGAATAAAATAAAACATTGAACATTCAAGTCAAATTAACAACACACAAAACAAGTAAATGCTTTGATTGAAATTAAATTTTATATTTTATAAATAAATCATTTACAAGTTTGCTTATTGGTAAATTTGTTTTCATTCCTGCTTTTGTATTAAGTAAATCTCTTGATGCATTAGTTCGTGTTTAAGCATATAATATTTTTTTTTTCTCATTTACTTACTGTAAATAGTCACAAGAAACATGTAAATGTTAGAACATAAAAGTATTTTTTGTATGTATATGTTTATTCAATGTTATACTTTTCAATATTATCAGTTCCAACGAGAATACAATAATATTGATGATTATTTAAATTGAAATGCCAATCCGAAACCAAGGCCGCGACAGAATATAAGATAAGAAAGACAAGGGATAGAAGTAAATATACGATTTTTTCTCACAGAATATAGCGAATTCAATTCAACGCTCCGTCGAACGGAGTGTAATGATAATATAAGGGAGGTGGTAAAAGTGATTCCAAAGTTGTCGACATCTAGTGAAAGCCGTATTGATCGTTTGATATATGTATATATTTTTCTCGAAACATAAATTTGTATTCGTTAAAGAAACAACGAAAGTTATTCAACTTTTAATTGAATGTCAACTTTTTTGTCCTATTAATATCACAGCGAGACAAAAAAATAAACATGTTATATTAGATAACTTCGTAAGTAAGTATTGCTTTGTCTGACATACTTAATATAGTTTTTTTTTAAATTTACAAGTATTATATAATGTTAATCCGATATAAAGACGATAATTTTAAACTCTTTCTATTAAATCTTTAAACATATGTATTTAACTTATTCAATTACCCAATTTTCCTCTAAAGCAAAAATGTGAAAAGTTCTACTTTATTTTGGTAATCATTTCAATTTATAAATTGTGATAAAAAGAATATAAATTTAAATGTTCGAATTATTTTTAACACTCCATAATAATACTAATACGTTATTTGAAAAGCAACAAATAATTTATTTGATGAAAATAAACAGATGAAAATTTATTTACATTGACTTATAAACTGTAACTACACATTAGTTTAGTTTTACTAGAAATTTATTTATTTTTCAATTCAAAAAAAATAGTACTAGTGTTGGTTTCACAGTAGTTTCAATATTTTTGTCTCTAGGTATAAATAGAAACATTAGTCGTTAACTTGGACTAGTTTTATATTTATAAAAAGATCGAACACCAAGTTGAAATGTACATAATTGAGCAGTACTCCAAATGTAAGATGACTCCTAATGGAATCTAAAATAAACAACAAATGTTACTTAGTGTACACCCATGGTATATTCGATACATAAAAATTTAACAACCTCTATAAATAATATCATATATGCATTGAGCTATTTACAAAACTTGTTATTTACTTCGACATCACATAATGATTCTTTAGAATTAGGTCTAGGTCAGGAAAATTATAGCTGTAATAAACTATTAATGATTATCAGTTTAAGAAATGTGACTTGCATGGGTTTACGTAAGACTTAGTTTTACCAACACAAGTATTATACACGACATTGTTGATATATGAAGTTACTAAGCAATGTAAAAGGTTTAACAAAGAATCTTCTACTAGGATAAAAATATGAATAAAGACAATGGAATAAGAGAAATTTTACACAGAAAATAACATAAAAATGTTTATATAATATTTCAATTTAGCGTCTGAAAGCCGTGCTCTAAGATATTTTATTCTTTTTAAAAGAATATCTTCGAGCTGATAAAACGTTTGATGATGGATACTAGAAGGACTTTAAGATATTGTTTGAAAAGTAAGTTAGGGACCTCTTACTTAATACTTCAAAAGAGTAAAAAAGGTAGCACGTGAACATATTTTATACTTTGTCCTGTAATCTTTACCCTGTTAGAAAGGCCGCTTATAACATATTTTTTGTTTATTTTATAAATCATAAATTATTTAACTCATGTACAAAAATAAAATAAACAAACGAAAACAATTAAAAATTGTTAGTTTTAAACAAACTATTAATTTTGATTTGTTATTTACTTCCTTGTTTCAAATGTACTTTTTTATGAGTTAATTTAGTTAAGTAAATGAGTTGAGTTAGTTAAGTCAAACATTGTTGATTTGGACTGCAAAAGGTTTCTATTAATTTTATTGAGTTAATTCGGTACTCTAACATGGGTTTTAGTTAATTTCTATTTTTAAAATATTTAATCTTAAGGAAAGGTAGGACATGCTCATTTCTATGTATAAGGCTGAACAAAGACAATAATTTTTGAGTCATCAAAATTGTATAAATTTAATACTTTAAATACCTACCTACGTCTTATAACTCATTGTAGACAATTAGTTAGTCAATAATCAATTGATAGAATAAATTCTAATGGAACACGTTTAAAACTGTTAAAGATTATAGACTCTTTTATATTTAGGTATGGTGACTTCTTAATGTGATATAGAAAACTCTTAACTGGAATGCAACTTGACCTACTCGTATATTTTAATTTTCATTAATGACACCGTCATTGTGTTTTCAATAAGAAGCTAAAATAAAAATGCTTTGTGAAAGATTTAAGCGGCTAGCTGATGCAACGTCGTAATAAAGCGCTCTTGTATATTAACCGTCAGGGAAGTCTGTATAATTTACACATCAACATTTTTTTTGATTGTGTCATTCCTTGTGAAAATCTCTTATACTATAAATTTCATGTTTGTACATGTATATTCAAGTTTTAGTAAGTCTTGTTAATTAAAAGACGTTTTATTTTAGTACAAACGTATTAAAAAACAAATGTAAATTGTATTCTCATACATAAATCATCGTTTTAATTTCAAAATACGAGTTTACCCCCTCACACGTAATAATCCCTTTTATTACTAGAACGTGAAGCGAGAACCCATCTTATAAATTAAATTCAAAGCTTAAGGTTACTTTTAATGCTTCTTTTAATTAATGTTTCTTTGTTTTTAATCATAACTTATGATTTTTATACAGCTCATTTGTGTTTAATAAAGGACAATGGTTGATCATTTCAATGAGATGAAAGCGATTTAAGTTAATTATTTTAGCATGAATCTGCCCCGCCCAGGATTGCCGTCGTCACTGATGGACGCCTTCTCTTATTCAGTACTTCAAAACAGTTATCCTACAGAGCAAAATGCCTGTTCTAAACAAAATGAATTATTCAAAATGAAACAGAATAAATACTCAATTCAAGGAAATTCCAAAATAGCTATCACTTGTGACGTATAAAACGTTATGTTGCAATGGCTAAGTAATAACAAATTTATAATTAATGATTATATAATTTTCTCTTTCACATTTAGTTAATGAGAACTAAGACTTTGGCGTTTATTCATTTAAATAAAACTAATATTTTCGGATTTACTACACGACTTTTATTATTTCAAAGTAATAATATGTACATTACACAAATTTTCTGCGTACTTGATTATGTTCATTTTTGATTTAAAATTATTACGTGGAGTCCATACATCACACAAAGAGTCCTCTAATGGCTTTAACCTTAATCTTGTGAATAATATCTCGAATAAGACAATTTAAGCGAAATTTATAAAAAGCGTTTCCAAATGGAATTTGAAAATAAAAGTATAAATTTTAATATTTACCGATTTTCTTATATGCTAGATTTTTTATGTCATTTAATCCGACCAAATTAACTCAAATACTTTTTATAATTTAAATGAAACTCCTCTATTTAAAATTTTACAAACTTTATGTGACTAATAACATATGTATGTCCATGCATGAATAAGTATTTAGTTGCAATAGTCACATGAACAATAAAATCTGAATCAATTTGAAAATTAATGTTTGTAATCAAGGAATAACTATACCCAATCAGGTCATTAAGAATGTATTTTTTTTCTTGTTTCAACGAGTATATAATAAAGGAATATGTCGCTTTAGTCCTTTGCGAACATTAGTGCTCCACATATCATTTGGCTATGTCAACGGGTCATCAGTCATTCGGTTGGTAAGACAAATGAGTATTGACTGTAACATATATACGTTTTATACCAACGAAATCATAGAAGGAAATCAATAAACAATTTACGAATTTATTTCAAAAGCTTATTCATATTAAAATTAAATTTATACAAAATAATTATTTTATATATAAGCACTTAAACAAATAACAATAAACTATATTTTTTTTTATATAAAAATCATATAAATGTTATTTTTACATATTTACATAATTTGGAATTATACAAACGTTTATTTTATTTCTATTAGCATTGTTTTTTAGATGGTTTTAATCTAAAGATATTTTCGTAATCAGCTATAAGAATACTACCATCATTTTCTATAGCCATTCCATAGATATTATCCATTGTAGCAAGATGTTCTATATTTTGACCATTAATGTAATAAATACCGGTGGGAGTAGAAAAGTATAGATTCCCATTGATGTCAGAGGCAAAACTATTCAAATTATAGTCTCCCAAAAATGAGACGTAGTTCTTTATCCTCTTATGGACATACAGTCCTGATGAATTTGAAAAGTAAATGTTGTTGTTGTTGTCTAAAGCTGCTAGCAAAACGCGGGTATCGCTTAATTCAGGAACTTTCTGATACTTTCCATCTTTGAAAAGGTAAAGATTTTCATCTGGATATGTTGTATAGTATAGATCGTCTTTGTAGAATAGCTGCCAAATATTATGTGTTGTACCATCCAGGTGTTCCGACTTTCTGGTGACATAGTTAAATTTGTAAATACCATTGCTGCCTCCTAAATAAACGGTATTTGTTTTTTGATCTACGGCATTTGCGAAACCACTTTTAACGTCTTTGATAACGAAATATTCACCGGTCCTTAAATTTAAATAGGCTGAGTTTAATAGAGTGCTCCCTTTTTCATTACTAAAACTAAAAAATAGAACATTCGTGTTATAATCAATCGCTAGTTGGTATGGGCTATTTCTAATATGAAGTAATTCTTCTCTTTCATGAATAATATTGTGAACAGCTATCCCATTACAATCATCTTCTATGACTCTTGCTCCAGATTCATACGCCAAAAATATAACTACTAACGATAATATCTTCATCTGGAAAAGATAATAGGTATATATAATATATATTTAATGATAAAATATTTTTGTTTATTTAAATAGAATTATTTAATTGTCGATGATGAACTACATAAATAAAGGATAGAGTCTACTTTTAGAGAATAATGAGCAATCATTTTCTGACGTACGATTATCTCTTAGAAAAGAATATTTCTTAACTAAAATAAATATATTTCTATGTCTAATTTTATTAACCGAAATACTCACGATTGCTCCGTGTCTGGCGAACAACGACTATAAATGATGCCAGCGGTGAATTATCGATAAGTGGTTCATACGTCGTTAACGTTGTTTGCATTCTGAAAGGTTATTAAATGTTATCTTTTGTGATTATTATTGTATATATAAAAATATTATTAATAAACATATTTGTGCTCTAATTTAAGTTGCGAATGTCTTATATATTTCACTTACAATCACTAAACTTCAACGAATCACCTGAGGATTTTAACTTAGACTGGAGTTTTGGTAGTTCTTTCTCAATATATATACTGTTTTTTTTTTTGCATATTAATCATCTATGACTTTGTTGAAGTTATAAAATTAATTTTATTTTTTACCTTATTGTTTTAGTTTTGGAAGAAAACATAATAACGGGCTCAAAATAACCCTAAATACCATTTGACGTAATTTTTAGTCGTATTTTTAAAGAAATAAATATCCTTGAATTATAATGGTAGTTTTGTAAAAATTTATAGAATACTTAGTAGGTAAATTTTATTTACTCAGTATTTATTCCAAGAACTATATGGATTAGAATAGGGAATTTCCCCATTTTACAAGTATTATTAACAATTAAATAGAAACTTGATCCGAGTATGCGTTGTGCCAATACTATTTTTATATTATTTTCGTAATAACAAAACTGTTAAAACGTACAATAGTCAGTCTATATATATTTCTTATTCAGGTCAGTCAAATGAGTCGGGGTGAAGAGGTCATAGATGGATCGGATATTGGCAGATAGGTATTATGAAAAGGTCAAATATGAAAGAAAGATTGATAACTCATACTCAGTAAATAATATATATTAAGAATATGGTAACAATTTGTGTTTTTGTTTTCTTTAGTTGAAGACAAAAAAGAAAGAGACAAGCGAATATGAGTATAAATTTTTATGTATACTTATAGAGGCAAAAAGAGAACAATACTCTATATATAATATTTGTCGCTATGATTTTGTTTAAATGTGTATAAATATTCACACCTAAATGCAAACAGATTTACCAGAAATATATATTGTTTGATTCTGAAAGAATCTCACTTTTAATATTAAAACGAAAAATTTTGTATGGAACGTTTTGAGCGTATGATTTCTATATATTTTTAAAAATAAAAATACATTTTTTTGCATGGTAACAGTTTTTAAGAAATATATTTGTGAAATTTTAATTTAATATATAAATAAAAATGCTAACCAATATTTTATAAAGACTTAATTGACGTAACCACTGTTATATGAAGTTAGTGAATTGTGATTGACATGGTGTGCATTTGACTACATTTCATATCTTTCCTCTCATAGATAGTTGAAACTAGAATGCTTGTAACATTCAATATCAAGCATCCCATGCTTTTTACTCTGAATTAAAATAATTTCTTTGCAATTGAAAGTTATGTTATATTTTTTAGTTCGGTTAGCCATAAATTCGTGTTATTTTATTTAAACTATTGTTGTGTACCTAAACTAAATTGTTCTTGATCTCGTTTTATTTAGTTTTTTAAATTACTAATTACTCATACAACAAGTGTTTAGAGATAAAGACGAAATGAACATTTTAATTGTTTTGAATGCTTATTTTTTATATAATTGTAGCGTAGTTTGATGAATAATCCAAAGTGTGGCAGTGTCAGATGAAAAGTAATAAAGTAGCTTACCACTTATTTTTTTATTAAAGATCAATTTGCATAAAAAATACTCGCTTATTGTGAGTATCTACTGAAGATTGATTTATTATGTATATCAATCGCAAATAAATCCGGTTTTATATCACATAGCATCAAATGTCTCAATAATAATTTCTCTAGAGCTATGAAAGTAACACGATATCATACGTTTTAAAAAATGTACAGAGATGAGAGCACCCTCGGGACATATAACGTTAACAAATTGGCGCAATTTCCAATGTGTAACGAATGTCGATGAAAATTTTTACTGGAGAAATAATGCCTGAGTGCCTACAGTGAAACGTTTGAATAGCGGTAACATTATTATTATTTACACATGACTTCCAACAATAATGTTCTACAAATGTAAGTTTCCATGACTATATTTCTTCTCTTTCATAAAACTTTCATATTTTAAATATTAACAGTTTTCCGACGGAACTTTTCTCCTTTTATTTACTGTTTTGTAGAAATAACAAAAAGCAGATTAACCTTGAGATATTGTTACTGTCGTTTATTTGAATACAAAAGTAACGAAAAGAAACCTATTTTTAATTTTTGTTTGTGTCAACAAAACTCTTAATTTACTTAGTATGACTGTTTGTTTATCATCTAAAAAATAAACATATAAACATGATTTTTTCTCAAAATGGGATAAATATATAATGAAGGAGATTTTTTTTCTTTTAATCAAGAACAAATTTCGAAATAATGATTCTGTAACGTAATGTGGGTTTCGGATAACATTCATTAAATTGCGGTAACACGAACCGCGCAATCAGTCGCATTGAATGATTCCACCAGATATTAGATTTGATAGATTTAACTCAAACAAAGCCTAATCGATGGGATAATGGTTTGAGATTTTCAAATGGTTTATTTTTAGTGACATTTAATACAAGCCGTAAATATATGTTTGAAATACTATAATGTAATTCTATCCATATTTTATACATGCAAAGGTTTTACAAAAGTTTATACATGCATAAACTTTTGTAAAACTTCTTATTTTCAAATAATTTTTATACTTTTTTATAACTTTTTATACTTTTTATACTTTTTTATAATCAAAACTATCTTATCCTTATAAGAACAAGAAAAAAATGGAAATGTACCTTTACTATATATAAACTTAAATTAAGATAAAATATATCTCTTACATTTCACTGCTTTATGGTTTTTATTATTGAGAATTATTCCTTTCTCACTATAGTTATTTCACTCAACAAGTTTGAGTTAGACTGAATATTAAAACAGTTCTATTAAATGCATACCAGACTATGACCAGCTTCAATTACTCACTCTAAAATAATGTCTGCCTCACCTTGTTTGTCATAAATTTATGTTTTTTTACATATGAAATCCGAATATAAGCAAACACATAATGGTTTTTGCTGTATAAAGAAAAGAGCACCGAATTACAAAGTTCCATGATGTATAGAGGGAACAAAATAGTTTCGTTGTATTTTCTAGGACTATTTGTATTCCCGACACGTATCGTGTGCGATGCAGAGTTCCGTAGAATTTTTTTTGGGGGGGTGAGGCCATTTTACAAATAACTTCATCTTTCTATTGGAAGGAATGATAAAATATTATTTATGTGGTTTGAGAAAACTATGAAAGCGTGTTACAAAATAGATTAAAATTGATAGGTACGTGCAGAGGCTGTTAAGGAATTAGCATTTTTTTGTATTAATAATAGCTTACTAGACTGAACAGACACATTGAATAAAACTTAGATCGTCCACAGGTTTTTGTTTAATAATGACTAGATAACATGCCATATGACTAATAAATTTCTAAAGCATTTTCTTTACACTTATTTCACAATGACTACATAATTGTACATCAGACCATATCGATATAAAATTAAATAAATTTTAAATCGTTTAATATAAAGTGTTTATGACACTTTAATAAGTTAATTTCTTTCCATATTATATAAGTAGGTAGAATAAAGACTGCATTCGGGTATACAATCAAATATTCGAAACGAATACCTCTGATAGTCTATCAACTAGCTTTTCATTTCCGAGGCCATGACATTTGGAAATTGGCAGTCCATCTGTCGTGTGAATGACTCTGTTTATGAACGCTAGTAAATCATAACAACTACGCTTTCATAACATTTAATAAACATTTTTTTTATTATTAATTTTTTTTTTCTTTTGTTTCTAAGACCATTCCATGTAGACTAAACGTGTATAAGGAGAAATGTAATCAACCGTCAATAAACGTTCACTGAAGACTTTGAAAATTCATTTCGCTTTGATATCAATTTATAAGGTCGGAATTTGTAATTTATAACGTATTACAATTGGGTTTTGTATTTAAAGATATATATTCTCATTTAAGAACATTGTCCTTTTAATAACATTGAGTTGCGAAAATAAAGAGTATATATTTTAAATGAGTTTCGGTTGTGACTCATAGTAACATTATAATTAATAAAGTTAACAAAGTTCAGATTCTTAAGTACAATTTTAAAGGCTTCTTTTAAAATACTTGCATATTAGAACTAGTGATATCTTTAGGTAAACTATTATGCGAATGTGCTGTCTCATTTGCAATAGTTTAAATTCCTCATGTTGTTCTTGGTAAGCTTTATACATACGTATGTTTTTGCTTTTAACATGTATTCTGAATAAATGTGTTTTCTACGAATTGCACAATTAAGTATGAAGTTTCTGAATTTATATAAATGACTTATATAAAATAATTCTTTGTTATTATTAACCTCTTTTGATGATACTTTATAATTAATATAAATGAAACAATATTTTCAAGATTCTTATGTGACATTTGAATGTCTTTTAAATTTGGCTTGGTATTTCTTCCTCATATTTCTATCAGATTCTCTTTTTGGTGTGTTGTTGATGGATGGTACACCACTTCAGTAGTGTAATGAATATAAACCTATTAAGTATTTTAGTTAGCTAATATTCAATACAAGGTCTAATTAAAATTGTTTAGATGACAAAATAATAACATGCGCATTGATACTCCAAGGGCATAGTTGGGTATAGTCTTATATTTTGCATAAAAAAAGGATATACCTACGACGCGTTTGAATTATTTATGGTCAAAAG